ATATAGCAGTTTCGCAATATCTATGTTAAACTTTCTGCGACATGTTCCTTAATCATTCTATTTTGACATATTTTATCTACACGAAATAGTGAAATAATCGAATAATCCAATTTTGAGATTTACGAATGGCATCCTCTTTTTCCTTGAAAAGTCTATATACGCTCGTGTAACCTGAAATGTTTGTGATTATAAACTTTATTAAAATGCTTTCGATTTAAAAGTATGTGGCCAAATTACCAGTCATTTCACGTGGAATTTTGTTATCAATATTTTTAGCGAATGGATTTGCACCCTTTTCTTATAACAATTTAATCATTTCAATTTTGGCAATAAAGACAAAAATAATTTTAGAAACATATTTGTTATTATTGTTTATTGAGTTGTGGCAAATATTTTTGAAAAAAAAAAAACGATGTATGTTAAAAAATGTTAGAAAACTAAAAAGTCTAAGAAAAATTAGGACCTATTAGGTCCTTTCAAATGTACACGTTATATGCGAATTACAAAAATCTGACTAGTAAAGTGCACATAGTGTCAAAGTGCACACTACTGCGCGATAAAATTTCAAGGGGGTGAAAACAGGTCTCTATTTTTTCACAGAAGATCTTTTCCAGTTTTTTTTTGCATTATTACGATATAAATATAATGAAACCACTTTATCGAACTTCCTTTGTACGAAAGAAATTGCTCAATTGAGATGTTCTTCCGATTTTTTTTAAATCTATTTGCAAAGTCATCATTCGAGTTTCTTCTGATCTTTATGTTTCAAGTACATTTGTATGTTTCGGAACTTTTCAAATAATGTCAAATAATCAAGGCGAATGTCACAACGAACATACTAGTATTATATACAACCGGCTAAGCCTATGAAGAGACAAAATGCGAATTCCCCTCATCTGTGCCATCTTGTATTCCATAGTTGAACTCAATTTAGTTACAATGAATTGAATCGAAAAAGAGAAAAAAAACAACAACAGTAACATGGCTACATAGATCTGTTGACCAGTGAGATACGTATAGCAATGGAATGAAAGAATGAAGAAAGCGTATATGTGTATGTATGCATCAGCACGCATAGATGTACAGCTCTGTGTGGCCGTGCTATTGTTGTTGTTTTTTCACTTTTTCATTTCAATGCTACAGAATTAAATTCAGTTTTTGCATCTAATTCACACTAAAATCAGATGGCGCTCATTAGCGAGATTCGCAAAAAAAAGTCTCCAATCTCATACAAATATACACCGGCTGATTATATATTTGGTATAGGGTCGTAATAGGTCGCAATAGTTTGGAATAAGCGGTAAAGTGAATTTCAACAAATACGCTGTTCTGTTGACAGAAACGTTATGTTTTCAATTCAGTCGTCTGCGCCTAAACATTTCAATATTTCATTCTGAATATAATTTAAATAAATATAAATATAAAAAACATTTATAAAATTAGATTAGAAACATTTTCAGTGAAATGAATAAACTCTACTTATACTGACGACCTTCAGCATTACGAAATTCCAAATCACAAACATTACGAAAACGCAATTGCATGTTTCAGTCAAACCTACGAAGTGATTGATTTCGCTGTTTACAGCTCGTCAGAGCAGCTTTGCAGGCCAGTACCATCTGCAAATCACAGCATCTTGTGGCCTAGGCAGATGGATCGGAGGACTGCCGGCGAATAACCGGATGAGAAAATTCTCCAAAACAATTGAGAAAACAATTGTTGGCGCTCAAAACAAGTCACAAAGTGATATCAAATGTTTTGAAAAATAAGGATTGTAGTTCAAATTTATTAAAGAAAAAAAAATTACTTTGTTTTTTTACGACACTTTCGATAAGATAAATTAGATTAGAAACATTTTCAAGGATATGAAAAAACTCCACTTATACTGACGCACTTCAACATTCGTAATGTTTGTGATTTGGCATTTTTGTTTCTTTAATAGAGAATTTATTGTCCAATGAAAAAAAAACGGTTATTATTTCAGTGGTAAAATAGCCGATCTGAAAAAAGTTCCCATGTATATTTACCGCATGCCGTATCAGAGCCAACCAGAAACACATTACCTGCTACCTCCCTTTGAATGAGCGACTTGCATAAAAATAACACAAACAGTTGATTTTGTTTACAAACGGCTTTTATTTGAATTATGAAATACCCGATTTCATTTGAAATAAGAAATAAATTTCTCTTTATTTTATCCATTTAAATATTTAATTTTTCACATTTTTAACACAATATTTATTGCATTTATTTTATGCATACATTACTACATCTTATTTATAGTCAGTCTATAATTTTTTCCGTGAATGTGGTCAATATGTCTTGCATATCATTATTGTACTCGCAATGGTTTAATTTTAAGTTTTCCAATTGCGACAACAGTGAACGAAGTTCGTTGAGGTTCCCCTTTAAATCAAAACCATCTAATTGGAGATATTTCAACTTTTTTAACCAATATTTTCCAAGTATTTGTACGAAGGGGACATCTGATTCGAATCTCCATGCGTCAACTTTTAACGTCTGAATTTCGGTGCCCAAATATTTGAAAATGTTTTCAATTTCATTTGTTTTCATTTCAGGTATATCCATCGGTAGAGGATTCAGTTCCAAATTCTTATACTTCTTTGAAAATGCCTCTTTGGCGTGTGCATTGAACCAAGAGCACACGGCGCCAACATTGGACAATTCAGTCAAATCAAAATTTCCGAAGATCTTACGCATACAATCGTCATTGAGTGCATTGATGATATTTGATGGAGCATCTTGGTCTGGTGCGATTAATAGGTTGGGATTTTGCAGCTCTGGTATATTATTGGGTTGTTGACAGTAGCTAGCGGCTTCAATTTGAACCATTCGATTTTCGATATATTGTAAACGCTCTTCCAGCGCATCATATGCACTTTGAACCATTTTAAATTGGACAAATGCCACAGTTTTTCCGTGAGTTCGAACGCATTCCACTTCACCAAATCGCTGAAAATACTTTTTAATCCGATTAACCTGGAATCACAATAAATGTTTAACGAATTCGAAATATACTTTGTGACTGGAAAATTTCTTTTTAAAAAAATGACTTACGTGGAGTTGAAGCGGTGCAACCTTCAATGTGCGAATGGGAATTCGGTTGAGGTTTTTGTTTTTATAAGCATTCAGTTTTCGGTTAAACCTTCGCATGATGGACGATCAAAGCAATTATTTTCCTGTAGATATATTCGAAATAAACATTAGTTGAAATAATAAGAAAGATAGGAAAATCGAAAAAATAACGAAATCCGTGAGTACTCAACTTCCAGAACTCTTTGGACCAGGTTGGATCCACATGCTTCACAAGATTTATTTCCAGCTCATGTTCGGTTATGAACAGTGATGGTTTTTTCCTATCTGAATAGCGCTAGCTATTCGCAGCGTCTGAACAGCATTGCTGCCCAGATGCTGAATCGAAGCGGTTGCCGCACGCGTTTTGTATCACAAAACATATTATCATATAGTCTAAGTACGAGGGTCACTATTTAAGTTTTTTCAAAAACATATATAAGACAATGGGGTTTCATCGAAAATGGTTTTATTGTTTTTCAAAATATTCGCCATGATGATCAATACACTTTTGCATTCGCTCGAACCATTTGTCATAGCATTCATGCCACTCCGAAAGTGATATCTCCAAAACGTGTGTTTTGAACGCATCAACTGCTTCTTCGGGCGATGAAAATCGTTGACCACGCAGTTTATTCTTCACGCTCGGGAATAAAAAGAAATCGTTGGGTGCCAAATCAGGACTGGACGGCGGATGACCCATTAAATCGATCTTTTGACCGGTCAAATAATCGGCTGTTTGATGAGATGTGTGAGAGCTCGCATTATCATGATGAAGAATTATTTTGCGACGGCGGTTGTTTTTTCTTATTTCATCAAACACTTCGGGCAAACAAATGGTGGTGTACCAATCAGAATTGACAGTCTTACGAGCCTCTAGTGGAACTGTTGCCACATGACCACTTATCGCGAAAAAACAGGTGACCATTTGCTTCGCAACACTTCGAGCTCGAACAACTTTTGTTGGGTTATCTTCACTTTGAAAGACCCATACAGTCGACTGCTGTTTAGTTTCGGGCTCATACGCGTAGATCCATGATTCGCCACCAGTGACGATAAAATACACGGATTTTGAAACACCACGATTGAATTTCTTGAGCATTTGTTTACACCAATCGACACGAGCCTTTTTTTGAGCGATTGTCAAATTATGTGGTATCCAACGAGAGCAAATCTTTCTGACAGCTAAATGTTCATGTAAAATCTTAAATACGCTGGTCGCACTAATGCCTAGGGATGCCTCAATCTCGTGATATGTTACATGACGATCTTCCATTATCATATTTCTGACAGCATCGATGTTTTCTGGTACAACAACTGATTTTGGACGACCTTCGCGGAACTCGTCGATGAGCGATAGGCGACCGCGCTTGAATTCGTTGTACCAATTATAAATTGTCCGAAGACTTGGTACTTCATCGCCAAAGGCCAAATGAAGTTGATCAAAACACTGTTGTTGTGATACACCCAATCGAAAGTGGAAAAAAATAATCGCTCGAAAATGTTCACGAGTAAAATTCATTTTTTGGCTGAGACGCAATTTACATGTTACGGTAAACAATACAAATAACGATCGAATGACAAAACGTTCTGAGAACGTTTATGCTACAAAATGTTAAACTTAACGAATATGACAATGGTTTGCATCGGGCAATACTAAAACATACATATTGAAGAAACTTAAATAGTCGCCTACGTAACCAGTGAGCACACAGAGTATGATACACTAATACCATAGTCAGTATACAATTGCATGTCGAACAGAGAACGAACGCGAACGTATATGCTCTGTGTGGTACAAACGAAGTGTGTTGCGCGTGCGGCAACCGCTACGATTCAGCATCTGGGCAGCAATGCTGTACAGGCGCTGCGAATAGCTAGCGCTATTCAGATAGGAAAAAACCATCACTGGTTATGAATGCAATTTACTCTATAATATCATGTGAGATGAAGCAAGATGCCATGAACGGAAAGTGGATTTTGTGGAGCAGGTGGATCCAACCTGGTCCAAAGTGTTCTAGAAGTTGAGCAGTACTACATATGAACCGCTTAGAATAAAAGTAGATAATGGTAGAAAGTTGAAAAAAAATCTCAATCATAAAGTTCTGTGAAAATAATACTCAATCAAGAAAAAATTAAAAATAAAAGTCGATCAAAAAATGAGTAAAAATAATACTCAATCAAGAGAAAAAGTTAAAATAAAAGGCAAACACAATTTATGATCGATTTTTATTTTCACTTTTTTTCTTGATTGAGTATAATTTTCATAGCACTTTATGATTGAGATTATTTTTAACTTTCTACCATTATCTACTTTTATTTTAAGCGGTTCATATTTTTTCGATTTTCCCAAAGTTAGAAAAATCGATTGGTAGTTTTTCCGATTTCCATTTAACCCTTCTAGGTAAAGTTCGAAATAAAAACAATATAGGATAGTTACGGTCTATTAGACCGTTACTATTTGCGAACTAAACGATTTTTTTTAACAACTAAACGACGAATTATCTTTCTTCTTTCCAACGAATCGTTCTATTTGAAAACCATATACATTTGTTCTCTTTATTATGGTATTCGTATTCGATCACATCCATATTTCACACATGGTGTACGTGTATAATACAATAAGAACCGAATAGAGAAACATATCGACCTAATAAAAGCAATGCGTACGTGCATACTAGGTAGACTATATGTCAACTGTGTATGTGACACGTATAAATTCAGGTAAAAGTCTTCATGTCATTGAAAAACAAATATAATTTATACATTCATTCACCTCGGCACAAGTATTTTTTCAACTATTGTTAACTATAAACTGATTAACAAAAATCCAACTGGATTCATTTGTACTTACTCTATTGAATTGTTATCAATTTTCAAAAATTTCAAAGCACAATATCAAATATTATTGTATGATTTTGATAGAGAAAATCGTGAACACAAATGCAACGCATACGAATGCGTGCTCAAACTCAACTAATAACAAAATGATGTGACACATGTTCGGGAAAACATACAAAAAACATTTTGATTTGTTTTGGATTGGAGGAATTATAACAAGCATTAATACGCATGCGTTATTTTGAGTCTGGAGTGAGATGAATGTGCAGGTGCTATTTATAGTAAAATACAGATGATGTGCATCCAAAAATGCGGCCCTTAATACACACGGTTTACGACTTAAGCAAATATATGAAATATTGAAAGTAACTTATTGTATTTGAACCATCGCGCATCGTGTCATGCCATTTGGTGAACCTTTTGGTGTAAGTAAACAAAACTCACTTTGTTGGCATCGGCATATAAAAAATGCGAAGAAAATCAGAACAAAACGATAATGGATTTGAATTGCTTTGTGAAAAAGCAAGCAAAATAGTAAACATTTTTTCATTTTAAATTATTTTTTGGAAATGTTGTTCCATACAAAATTGATCTTTCAGTCTGTGAAAGGGGCCGTGCCTTTATATGATTTTGTACATAACAAAGAGACAAAGAATTTGATAACAATTGTGCATGAGTGATGGAAACGTCGTAATTCTCCATATTAAATAATGAAAACACTTTACCCCGAAATCATAAACTATTCAAAGCTATTCTGCACACTGATGTAATATCCAAAAAATCAGCAACTGGAATTTTTATTGATTTTAATTACTTTTTGAATTTTCCACACTTATTGCTTATACATTGTTTCGTTTCAATATTAAAATGCCAAACAATGGAAGATACTGAACAAAATATATGAAGCGATTGTTATCAGGTCTGGAACGGAACTGACTATTTAGTACACAAATTCTGGTATTTTAACTGCATTATTATCTGCTTCAAAGTAAGGAGTGGCGGAAGCACATTAGTCAATTGCCGATCGATGTAAACGGCAAAACATAATGTTGTCATTTTCAATGGAATTTCAGACCATATTTCGGGTCACTTTCATTCGATTCAGGTCTTAATTGATAAAATAAAATGTCGGGTCATATGACATCGTTATAAAATAATGAATGAGACTGATATGTTACTCACAACAAAGCTGAATCACAGTATTCACACACACTTGTTCTATAAAATCTTCAATGGGATAAATTAGTGAGCAGGAGAGGTCGAAAATTGTCATGAAAATATGCTGTGTTCTACCCATATGTTAACTACATAAACCATTATATATTAATCATTGTCTTCGATCATTGTATTTTCGAATCGAAAATTTCGATGCTTATTTCTTCGATAGCGGAACATATTTGAATAAGCAATCGGAGTAGCGAAAACACTTTATATTCGTAACAACATCGTCTCAATGCTTGTATAGCGAAAGATGCGATACTCAAATATTGGGAAAAATACTAATGACTGATAAACAACGAAAACTGGTTTTTTCGTGATTGTATTTTCTCCGAAATAATTTGATTAATGGACTTACACAGACAAAAATGCACAAAAATTCAAACAAAATGAACCGACATATTTTATTAAAGATAACTGAATTGCTTGGTAATGTAATGCGTTGAAGAACAATTCGTCAATGTTTTTCTTTTTTTCAATTCATCGTTTCATGATTCAAATCTGTTTCATATTCAACTTGCCCAGAAAAGAATTTTGCTAGTCGCATAACAATGTGGTATTAAAATTGAAAGCGAAAAATATCGTTATAATAATATAAAAATATCCGAAGAAAATTTCAAACAAAAATTAAACAAATTTTTCCCATTACATATCAGTTAACTCCGATTGTTGCCGTATCTACTCAAAAGATATAAAGTATGCATACAGTAAAAACGGAACCTGACTTTTGTGGAATTCTGGTCAATAGTGGAAAAAAATTCCGCCGTTGAGCTCTCCCATACAAAATGACCTGCCAATAATGGAAAATGGTCAGAAAACGCTCACTCTCAATAGTGGAAAAAATTTGGGAAAAATTCTTTTATTTCCTAGGGTTTTTCGAACGCGAGAGATATTTTTTCGATTTGCTAGGGATTTTCGATCTGTTTTTGGAATTCAATTTTTTTCCGATTTGGAGTTCTGTTTTCGCTAGGATTTCCCATGCGAAAAATTCTTTCCATTTCTAGTAATTTTTTTAATGAAAAATTAATGATAAAAATATGTGAATTTACCCTCACTAATCGAAAACCATTTCTGAATTGGCGTGAAAACCTGTTATTAATGGAATCTGAGTTTAGTGGAATTCGTGTCAATAGTGGAAAAAAATTGTCACCGTGGGATTCCGTTATTGACAGTTTTTACTGTATATTCATATCTATTGAAAATATCGAGAGGAGAGTATGTTTTTATTCAGACATTACTCAGCCATAAGCGCTGAATAACATACTCTCTTCTCGATATATTCAATAGATATAATGATTTTCGAGAAAAAGGCCCACAAAAAACATGTCAATTTCATCGTTGGGGCACTTGTGTGAAAAAATGTGTGTCTACAAGGTAGCTGCGTGATAAGTGGTAAATCTCCATACAAAACCAAATGATGCAATTTAAAAAAAAAAATGTGTAAATAAAAAACGAATGCGAACAATTTCTTTTATACAAACGACAATGTTTTCTCCGAACGCTTTCGTCTAAAACTCGAGTGTGTGAATCATTTAAAAAAAATTGAAACCTCTTCTACTCTTTCTAATCTATTTTTGTGTGTTATGAAGTTATATTACACTTCTGAAGTGATATTATTTGGCAAATAGTTTGATAAATTACTGATACCATCCGGGTATATCTCAAAAGCATATGATAAGATTGGCACACAACATGAATTACGCCCAAATAAAACTCCAAATTGAAGTATTTCACAATAACAGTTGAAAAGAGAACACTGGTAAGACCACCTTATTTTCGCAACGTTGTGTAAGAATTTCAAAAAATAATAATACTTTGTTTAAATTGTCCGGTCAAATAGCAAAATGTTCTGCTGCCAAAGTAATCCAAACAGAGATCAAAAGCCCAAAAATATTTTGTGGCAAAAAGATAAATTGACCAATTTCACTACGTACATCGATATTTTTAATATAAAAGGTCATAAAATATCATTGGAATCTTTAAATCGTTTATTTATTGGAGAATTTTCTCTATTAAAACGAAAAGGTCATTTAAAAGTTTGGACAGAAGCTGGAAATAAATTATTTGTAAAAGAAATGTGGTTGGATGCCATGAGAGCGTATAATATGGCATTGCCGGACTCTATTCAAATGGAAGAGATTTATTCGCTTCGTGCGCCTTGCTTCTATCATTTAAAAATGCCTGAACAATGTTTGATTGACTTGGCGATGATAAAGAAATGTTCAAATGGAAGCCTACCCAAGGAACTACAAAACATCGAATTGGAAGCACGTCAACAAATCAGTGATTACAATTCATCGAACGAAGGAAATAAATCGATACTGTTTAGTATTTGCGAACCGGCTTTGGACTTTGATGAGCATGAGAAATACAATGGTGTAGCCAACTGCTTGGAAATCAATTATAATGAAATATTTGGACGACACATCATCACAACACAAGATCTTAAAATTGGCCAAACAATTATTGTTGAGGAACCATACACGATTGTTACTTCATTCCAACCGGATGGATCCGGCTCTACCATTCGTTGTTTATCCTGTTTTCAGGCATGTAAAAATTTCATTGCCTGTCCACATTGTTCCTATGGTGTTTTTTGCAATGAAGATTGTATTAAGAGTTCATTGCATAAATTTGAATGCAACATGCCTGTAATACTATTTATGGAAGGAATGACTAAATTTAATCTTATTTTACGATTAATTGTTAGAATAAATGATGATTTTCCCGATGTCAATGTTTTAATAGAAACCGTCAATTTGTTACGCAATGGCAAAGAGGTGACTGGTTTGACGAGCGATCGACAAAAGAACTTTTGCCTACTATTTCAACTTGTACATCATCACGAAAAATTGTCTTATCATCAAATTGAAGAATTACGCAAAGGTGCTGCTTGCGTGTTTCTTACTGTTATGCGATTTCCGGAATTTACGAACAAATTCAATAACAATTTTCGCCGTCAATTTTTGCAACATTTTATCTTCCATTTGTGTCATTTTGCACCGCATGCTTTTCGTTTGTTCGAAAACTGTTTGATAGGAACCGAACATGAACATTCATTAAAAGCTTTCGAAGAAAAAAGTCTTTATGCGTTCGCTATGTATCCATTCAGTTCGTTTATAAATCACTCTTGCATACCGAATGTTGCATGGTTCTCGGTTGGAAATCGATTAGTATGCAAGGTGCTCAGACCAATTCGAAAAGGAGAACAAATTTTTCGAACATATTTTTCGTAAGTTATTGCCTTGTTATACATATATTTCCTAATAAACATTTTATTTAATTTTTTTTCAGTTCTGCATATACACAGAGCTCGGTAAGCTCATCTTTGATTGCTGATTTTCTTAAATATCAATATCAGTTTGAGTGCAAATGTTCGATTTGTTTAAAAGAATGTGAAATTCATTCAAATCGCGAAACGAATCTTGAGAACAATTCACTTTATAATGATGCATTTGCATGCGAACTTCTGTCGGTAAATGCATACAAAAATCTACCATTGGAAAAAATTGAATCGTACATCGCAAAAGGAATTGAGTTTCTAGAAGAATATGACCCATTTCATCCAATCACCAAGACGATGACAATCCAGAGAACCTTGATGAACCTTTGGATGCTATCAACGTCACGAATGACGTTCTTTCACCGGTCATTTTATATGGCTGTACAGGTCAGAAAATAAACAATTATTTTTGAAAATCTTACGACAAATCATTTAGTATTTGAGTTTTTTTCGACTTTGTATTAAATAAAGAGTGATCAATAAATCATTTGGTACCACATACGTGCTTTTTTATTCTACATTTGATAGCAAATCGCTTAAATTTGTTTTAAATTTGCGACCTTTGATCTGGTCCGAATTTTCAGCTAGAATGCCAAAACTCACTATTTTCGAGATACCAAATTGGTATTACCAATAAATGTGCAAAATAACATCTTTCTTATAAAACATTTTCCGCTTTCGAAAAAGCAAGAGCCATCTGTAGCATATATACTAGTGTCCGCACTACTCCGGTGCCAATAACAGCTTTGCTGTAAAAAGATGAGGGAGATTCGATGGTCGTGACTACTTTCTTTGCATTAAGTTTCATTGTAAAACTTCAATCGATACAACAAAAGTTTAAAAAAATGCCATATCAAAAATGAAAAAACTTAAAATGACTTGCTTTTTGAATTAATACACATTTTATTTGTTTATTTACTATACATTTGTAAATAGATTTGAATTAATTCTTTTCTTTATTTTTGACGTGAATACTTTACTGTGTGCTTGGTTCAGGTTGATTTTGTACATTTGAAACTGTTGTATTCAATTCTTCTTCAAATTGATGCTGATTAGATTGATTCAGTTGTGTATTTGGTAATTCCAAATTAAGTTCGGCTACCATAGATGGTAGTGGATCCGTTGGATTGTCGCCTTCAATAACAATCTCTTCTGGATCCGGGGCACGCGGTAGAAATTCTTCATTTTCATAGATTTGTGTGAATAATTTCTTTGCTTGTCGAATCGACTCATCATAGTCAAGTTCAAAGAATGGTCCACATGCAACATAGCAATTCGAAGGCATTTTGACTGTATCAACGCATTGTACACATGATGGAATATTAAAATACATTGACCATAAAACTTCGTGTGCCTCATCTTCGTTAAACAGTAACCGTTCATACGGTTCAATGTCCGATTTCGGTGAATCACTTCGAGCACGACACACAACATGAACTAGATCTAATTGTGGCGATAAAATAAAAATTAAATATTAAAAATTACCAGCAGACAGATAAATTAAAATGAAAAAGAACGAGAGATCAGAAAAATTAACTCACACAAATCTTTTGGAACGGTTCCACTCCAGTGTGTCAATTGAATTACAAACGCTCCGGTCGATTCGTTGCCATTGACGGCATTGACAGGAAATTCATCACCGATTGGTGGTAATTTCAAGAATTCAACGCCACCACCAGTGCTGCCCGGTTGTTCGCATAATGGTCTAGTTACTATGAATATTGCACGCGATAATTTACCGCATTGATGCGGATTTGTGGTGGATGTTTCCATTGTTTTAGGTAAAATATGTGCGAAATGATTAATTTCCGTTCCAGATATGACTATTGATTTGGCTTTTATCGTTTGTTCGTTACATTTAATTGCATTGAATTCGTCCAAAGATTCATTCAATTGAATCTCAGTAATTGGTCTTTTTAGGCAATAAATTCCACCAAATACAGCGCTCAATCGACAAAAACATTGTGGAATTTCACCACAACCATACATTGGAAATAGAAACGGTGAATTACCGTAACGACCCAAACTTTGCAAGAATTTTTTAACTCGTTTCACACCATCCGGACAGAGTGTTTGATCGTCACACATCCCAATCGAATAGAGTATATAATGAATCAAATTTTGAGTAAGTCGTTTATGCTCCAAATAACTGCGGAAAGTTTTATCCTCAAAATCTGTGAAAAAATTAAATCAATATATTTAGTTAGCTATTTTATAATTTGGATAGAAAATGTGGCACCTTTGAATTCTTCTTCATTTTCGACGCTTACGCAGCTCGATAGAACCTTCATAAGAAGACGTTTCTCGAGCACGGTCACATCTTTGTTCGTGAATACATCGGCACGCGAACAAGGCACCACTTTCATTTCATTGTTAACACAGGTAATGATCCGATCAATGGCTCTGAATTCCGCATAACGTGATATATTCGATGAAATCAGCAACTCAACCAAATCACCACGAGCAAACAGCAGCTGACGAAAAATGGAATCATTTTAACATGTAATTCATTTTCACTTAAGAATATTATACCTTTGGAGTTAAATCGATGTTAAATTTGCGAAAATCATGCATCACACGATCTCTCGTCCAAGTATTTTCCAGTTCATCGTTATGTTCTTCGGTTTGCTCGTCAATTTTCTCATCGTCCGTTTTATTACCAATTTCAAGTATATTCGATGGTATTCGCCACTCGAGTTCAGCATTTTCAATAATAAAATTCACATTTGGATCTAACGTAATTATTCCATTGTTCACATTTACATTTGGATTGCAATGAACACATTTATTGTTTTTCGCTAATGTTTCAATGCTTTCTAAATTAAATGAGGCCCACAAACCACCATAGTAATCATTTGAATCCAAATGTAAGACTGTTTTTCCAATTCGACTGGCGGCCGCTGACAATATTGACTCCGTCAAACCTGTTGTTTAAATCGGTGCCACCAAACAAAGTTGAGCATTAGAACAAAGCACAGCTAAATTATCAGATTATTTCTTTGTCATCGTCGTACACAGTTTTTAACACATACCTGTACCAATGACTATTAAATCAAATTCCGTGGGCAATGAATCGTCCGCAGTCGACATGCTGAACTCAAGTGATTAGTCACTATTGTATGTAAAAAAAAAATTCAATTTTTTTTCTCATTCAACTTATAACCAATGAATTTTCTTCTTATTATTGCGTCCGTGATACATAAACAGTGCATATTTCAACACGCAATGACGTTTTGACAGGTTCTGTGTTATCGACGTCATATACATTTTTTTTCGCTTTTTCTCTGCACATTGACAACCAAATTGAGTTTAAAACACAACAGCGAAAACTATGGCTCTGGGCAAATATCGTTCACCAATTTCCATTGGATTCATCTTTGTGTCCGCTGCAACGTTCTTTAGTTTTCGGTAATTTACCATTGCTTCTTGAATATTTAAGAAAATCCACAGTTTAATCGCATTTTTTTTCTCTTTTTTCCACAGCAATGAATTATTCAACACAAACCTAGAAGAACAGCGTAAACAGTTGTACGGCGATCCAGAAGAACAAAAAAAATCGTTCGAAGCCGTTTGCAAAGAAATGAATGTTCCATCTAACAAGTTTTTTTAAACGAAATGAATCGTGTAGAGATTATTTGAAATAAAAAATCATTTTTTTTTTGTTAAAATACAAAACTACAGCAGCTCTTTTTTTCATGCGATAACATATTTTTTATTACATTTGGTTTAAATGAATGGATTATTGTGTGTACAAATTCGTCTACAGGAGACGATACATTCTATGTGAATAACAATCATTCTAGATTTTTTACATGATTCTATGGTTTATGAACGAAAGCAGCACGAGGATCATCTGGGCGCATATAAACTGGACTATATTTATACTTTGCATTGTTTGGACCTTTCATGCCGAGCTTATTTTCACGATAAACTTTGGTTATTGCAACGCTTGCCATAATTGTTGCAGCTACTCCGGACAGGATAACTTCGGGAATTTCATTTAAGCCCTGCTTAAATAACGCCACCATCTTTCCACTGGATGCCATCGTTCATGAATCTGTTGTAAATAAAAATTGAGAATCGAAATGAAAAGAACACACATACACACGGTTGTTTTGTTGATTGAGTTGAATTATTGCGGAAATAATATAGAAACGTTTACAGCAAATAACTTAACATGAAATTCACATCAATTTATATAAAACAATGATTTAAACCAAAAAATCAAATCAAAACAATAAATACTCACATTTCTCTTTTGTAATTTGATTTTTTTCTCGTCTGGACAGATTACGTGATTGAATAGAAACTTCGATTTCGCTTCAAAATGTCATAATTGTATGTAGATTTAGTTTCTTTAATGAACACCGCGAAAAGCGACATTTGACATAGCACATCTATTCAATTCGCCCCAGTGCATCAAATTAATTTTTTAAAAATGTATTGAATGAAAAACATAAGGGAAAAATTTGAGAAATATGGCTGAAAAGAATGAAAATTTAAATTCAAATATAAACCTTCATTTTAGTGTGCGCACAGAAGAGGTCATTTACAGGGTGGCCCAGAATAACTGATATTTTTTTTCGTAACTACGTAGCTACAACTATTGCTACAAATATTGCTTTCCAATCACTCTTTAGTTTATGGTTAAGTTTATTCATGTTTTGGCTATGCACTGTGATGATACACATTATTGCGCAGTTCTTATTTACTTTGCAACAATAATGGATGTGAAACGTCAACTCGTTTTGAATTTGCACAAAAAAGGTTTGCGACAAGTGGATATTTTTCGGCGGCTTCAGACCGACAATATCAATTTGTTATTTATTCATCGCACCATAAAACGATACAAGGAACGCGGAACAGTCAATGTGAAGCGAAAACCAGGCAAAAAAAGATCTGTGCGAACAAAAGATCTGGTGAAAAAGGTACGAGACAAAATTCGTCGAAATAACAAAAGAAGCGCCAGAATCTTGGCTCGTGAGCACAATATCAGTCACACTTCAATGCGACGAGTGTTAAAAGAAGATTTGGGAGTGAAACCATTCAAAAAAACCCGAAAACACGGATTGACAGTCAAAAATAAGCAAGACAGAAAGCGAAAATGCAAATAGCTGCTACGCCGGCAAACAACCTCAAACATTGTTTTTTCAGATGAAAAGTTGTTCCTTTTGCAGCCGAGTCTCAATGTGCAAAATGATCGCGCTTATGCAGCGACAATTGAGGACATTCCTGAAGATGATTTAGTCGTTGAACGATTTCAAAATGTGTCAAGTGTCATGGTTTGGGGCGCCGTCTCGGCCGGTCACAAATTTCCCCTTGTTTTCGTTGACAAAGGCGTTAAAATTAACGCAGCTGTGTATGAAGAAGAAATATTGCGCAAAAACTTTCTGCCACATGCCGAAACTGTGTTTGGTGATAAGCCATGGGAGTTTCAGCAAGATGACACATCGAGCAAATAAAGTGCAACAGTGGTTAAGGGAAAATGTGCCTGGTTTTATTACCAAAGACAAGCACCAAATAGTTCGAATCATGAAAAAAACTCCATTCAAAATTCTGACAAACCAACTTGCTCTGTGTCCAATAACAACGAATCTCAAATAAACATCCAATTTAATGAAGTAACCTGCTCGGAAGACGTGGCTGATGGTGACAAATTAATAGCAGTTTCTGCAGAAGAAACAAGACTCAAATTAAACTTAGTGAATGATCTTTTGCAGCATGATATAAATATTGAAGAAATTTATATTAAAATCGAAAAAATGAAAAAAAGAAAAATTGAACATAAAAAGAAAAAAAATCCAAAATAGATTAAAATTAATAATTTAATCAATTGATTACATGATGGTATTTTTATATCATAAATCAACAAATAAAAACTATTTGTATTTGCAATTGTTTTAAATGGTTTATTTATTTGAATGTGCAATACTTTGTTTTGACTTCGTGGTTACAGCAAATTGGGATTTTGAAGTTTAATATTTAAACTCGATTTTCAATACTCTACAATAAATATGAATTTTTTCACTTGCATGCGTCGCTTAAATATTTTTTTTTCTCACACGATGCTTTTCAGAATATCTCGTGCTTTTTTTTTGAATTCTACATAATTGATCAATGTACAATGTACGGTATACGATTAAATAAGGGTATAGTGTTTTTTTTTTAATTTGTTTGTTTGTTCTTTTCATTAGATGCATTTGTAAAAGGAAAATGCAAGTATTTCCCCTTTTCGACTAGAATCATTGGCAAATTTATGCCATTTCGTTCAAATCGTCAAACATTTGTGAATCAATTCACATTTTATTTTTTATCGATTTTCTTTTCTGACGTATTTTCCAGTTCGGTTTCAGCTTTTGATGTTCCCGGTGAGTCTTTTTCTTCGGCAATCGGCAGTAGCTCAGATTGATTGGGCAATGATAGCGTCAAAGACAATGATGATTGTCCGGTTGATTGTGATGTTTGCAATTTCAAAGAATCGGTATCGCTTGCATCACGAATTGAAAGCGAGTCATTCGATTGAATGCTATCGTTCATTTGTTGATCATGCTTTGAATTTATTCCATCTGACAGAGTGCTGTGTAATTCCTGTTGTGATGAGTAAACAGAGAGAAATGAGTAAATTTGATAATCAAAATAAATATAAAATACATACCCCGCATTGTTTTGTGGTGATATTTTGACGCCAAATATTTCCCGAACTTTTTTGATTGCGTTGTTTTTTCAATCCAATTACCGCATTGGCTGCATGCATATTCAATGAGGTAACGCTTGGCATAGCATTGCTTGTACAACATAACGGTGATATTGAACATTTTGCATCAGCCGCACTACGTGGATGAAGTCGATCCGGCGATAGAGCTCGTCGCAATAATGGTGAACTTGGTTCGGCACTTTTTGGCCGAACAAACGACGATTTTTTACCACCAGATATAGTTGTAATGCTACTTGTATTCGATGTTATATTTGTTGATGTTGAATTTGGCGTATTTGATCCGCTGCTAGTTAAGGAACTATTCAAACTTGTATTGTTCGGTAAGGCACAACCGGGGCTATACGATTGTGTTGTATTTGATGCACCTATTTAAAGGGATGGAAAATGAATGTTTTTTTATCGTGCACAAGAATTTAAAAAAAAAAACTAATTTGATTGGAATGCCACTTACTTGGCCACTTACCCGGTTGATGAACAATGACTGGAAATGCAAGAGGTGACGGTGATCTGGTTGGTGATGCGGGCAATGGTGACGGTGAAGGTGTACGTGCCAATGGCGACAATGGAATGTGACCAACCGATTTTCGACGATTTGTTGAATTATTTGCAACATTTCCGGTCGTAACACCGCTAGCAGCACTAGGTGAATAGCCTGAAAATGTCACATTACAATGTAATTTAATTGAAAAATTCAAATGCAATTCGACTAAAATCGAACATACCATGCAATTTGTGTTTGAGTCCGTGCAGTGTTGAGGGCCGAGATGGATGATGGTACTGATGATGGTATAAATGTGATGATCCGCCCAGAAAACTATAAAATAAATGAATAATTGGAAGATTTGTTTTAAAATGAAAAGCAAAGAAAAAAAAAAAATGAACTTACCCATGAGCAGCGTTAGCAGTTGGTGTATTTGGTGCCGAGCTTGATGGTGATGATGATTGCGAAGAGGATGTTTTTGTTGTGGTGGTGTTCTCTTCACGTGGACCGGAAACATTTTGTGAAAATGATTGGCAGCTTCTGCTCGGCGTAACACTTCCCGGCGATGGTAGTGAGTTTAAATGTTGCATTTCGGCCGATGCACGTTTCGTGCTAATCCGTCGAAATAATGATGTTTTTCGTTTTTTCTCCGTATCTTTGCGTTGTTTCTTTTGTCGACTGACACTTTTTTTAGCCAATTTACTTTGATGAATATCACGCTTTCGACCACCAGGTTGAATACTTGTGTATTCAAGTGGTGTTGTCCGTAATGTGACATGTTCATTGTTGCCATTGGTCAAAAGTAATTGTAATACTTGAGTATGAAATAGACCTTGTACTGGTTCACCATTGATGTGTGTTATCAAATCAGCTTTACGTAATCCGGCTTCAAATGCTGGACTTCGTTCATCGACCGCCGATACCAAATGATGCATTGTATAAAAATCTGTATCACCATAGTACACACGAATTGTATGAACGGTGAAACCAATGCCTCTTGGTTCACGTCTGATTATTATTGGCGGTTTTAGATTCGTAACCAATGGCGACAATTCACGGCATGGCGATGTGTCACGCGATGATGCCGTACTTGAACCACCAGCACCAGCAATTGTACTGTAAATCGGCATATTACCGCCGGATGGCGATTGCATAATATGTTGTTCAATTGATTTCTCCGAATCACCCGTTTCCAATGTATTCGATGCAATCTTGCCAACTCCACCTGATGCATCGTCGGTTGCTGTCAAGAATTAAATTGATAATTATTAAACACGGTATATTTTATTGTTATCGATATTTCCAATGAACAAATTTCATACCCGATGACACGAGCAGAGATAGACCAAGTGCTGATGCACTTTTAATCACTGATCGAGACCGATGTTTGGCACCAGTTGGTAGGCCTGGTACTTGTGGTGTATTTGATGGTGATGATTCGGTATCTTGTCTGTGTAATTTAAAATTTATATATTAGCCTGCACGCAAGGGGATAAAAAAGGAAATAAAATGGAACCACTACTCACCCACTGAATTCATCCTCAATGGAAATGGAAAAACGTGGCAACATATCACGTTGATGAGTATTCTTTCGTTTGCGTTGAATTTGCGGTGATACATCATCGCTATCTGTTTGCGACGAATCCGGGGTGCTAACATTCAATGCATCTACTTTGCTTGTCTTTGCAACCGCTTTCAATTTATTGTTTGGATTTGTCTTATTTGGCGAATCGAGCTTGCGATCCTTTGGAATATCGGCCGCCACTGCTGCTATCACAGACGGATGCTGCAGTGGTGGACGATGCTGTGATGTTGATTGTTGCTGTTTGAAATATTGATGAATAGTTCCACTTTCACTTTCAAATGATGGAATATAATCGGTGTCTGGCGTCGATGGCAATTTCATTGCAGTCGTTCGACATACCTTTTAAATAACAAAAAACAATTGGTATGTGATTATTTTTCCATTAAAAAAACATATTCTGTTTCAAATAGAAAATTGAAAATAAAAAAAAACGATTAAATAAAACTTACATCCAATTTACGGAGTTGTGGCGTTGATATAACCTTTCCAATTGTTGAATTGGCAATGGTTTGATTTGCATTTGCATTTTGGCTTAAATTTGTTGAAATTGGCGATGCCGTTCCACTTCCGCTACTTGTATTTATTGATTCGTCAAGCGATTGTTGTGGCAAATTGATTTGTACCAAACTGGAATTGTGCTTGCGATATTGCGGCGAGTACGATCCAAATGAGCCGATTAAAGGGAAGTCATCGGTATCATCGGTATCTTCACCGCCCATATCATGATTATATCGATCCATTCGTGCTACAAAATAAAAACCCCATTATTTCCATGCAAAAATGAAAAGAAAAAAAAACAAATGCTTACTGTCAAAATAGCTTGTATCATCTTCGCTTGCAAGTTGTGGCACAAATTCAGCTTTTTGTCGTAGCAATGAATTCCAATCGATGGCATTGAAATAGCAATGCTCTTTGACTTCGTGTGCGCCACCAGTACCAAGTCGTTCGCGTGGATTTTGTTGCAAAAGGCTTGTGATGAGATCTTTTGCATCTTCGGCCACTTCCCAATCCTCTTCGCTTGGCCATTCAATGTCATCATTGACCGTATGCGCAAACAGTTCTTCAGGTGTTTCGCCAAAAAATGGCACACATCCAATCAGAAATTCGTATAAAATAATGCCCATTGACCACCAATCGACCGGTTTACCGTATCCTTGTCGCAAAATCACTTCGGGTGCAATGTATTCGGGCGTTCCAAAAACTTGTTTATCGGAAAATTGACGCGTTTCACGATCAATATATCCTTCATATAGCGTTGTGGCCAATGACATCAAACCCATTTTCGACAAACCGAAATCGGTTAGTTTTATGTGTCCCAAGGCCGTAATTAATAAATTATCGGGTTTTAAATCACGATGAACAATACCATAGCTATGCAAATATTCAACAGCTAACACAGTTTCGGCGAAATAAAAACGCGCCATATCTGGCGGTAATGGGCCAATATTTTTTAATAATGTGGCACAATCACCACCCTCAACATATTCCATAACCAAGCATAAATGTTTTTTCGTCTCAAAACTACAGCACATACTAACCACAAATGGATTATCAGCAAAACTTAAAATATCACGTTCAGCAAATACTTGTTCGACTTGATTACGCAAAATTAGATTATTTTTACTGATTTTCTTCATTGCGAATCGTTGACGTGTTTGTTTGTGTTTCACCAAAAATACCGCACCGTATGCACCATTCGAGATAAGTTTTAACTCCTCAAAATCAGTTTCGTTTGGCATTATTGCTGGCGTCGTTGTTGCAGCAATAGCCGATGCTGCTGCTGCTGCTGCCGCCGCCGACGTCGTCGTTGCCGCTGATGATGGTGTTGATGTTTGGTTGGTTTGTTGAGTTTTCGGTGTAACATCCATATTGGTTGTGTTTTGTCCGGCATTGATTTGCTTTTTTGGTGTCGATGATGTGAAGAAATTGTTCGATTTTTCAATTCCGTTCGGTGACGTATTGCCATCATCTGAAATTCCACTAATATTACCAGCGGCTGTTACAGTTGTATCATTCCATCGGCTAAAAACCCAAAATAAAAATGATTTGAATTAATTTATTGATTTAACAAAAAAAGGTTAAAAATAACTCACATGAATGTTGAATCGGATTTTGTATCAGTGGTTGCATTTGATTTATCAGCATCACGTGACGCATCGTCAATACTATATTCCCTATTCACATTCGTGCTAGACTGTTCAAGATTTGAACTATTCGAACCAATTGAACATTCTCGCAGCTCCTGTTGTAATTCAGCGATTGGATCGCGATTTAAACCTAGTTTCTGTATGATATACTGTGGTATATCAGCTTTAATTCCCTGTAATGCGTATCGTGCTTGACCTTCGGCCACTTCAAGCAAATGATAAAATTCTTCGGGATCAAATTCCAAGCATTCAAGCAATCGAGCCGGTCTCGAAATGATTAAAAGCAATTTTTTAATTACACCGGTTAGTTCGGCAGCTGCTTCGGGTGATTTTTCTTTTGTTTCAGCCAATAAACGTTCCAAATTTTCGGACATCTCATAGAAATATCGACTGGTTATTAGTTTTGCATGTGATTTATGTAAACAATCTCGTGCCATTTCGAGTACTTGATGATGTACAAAACGTACAATTGGCTGTGAATCACGAAAATTTCCACTGGCCACATACTTATTTTCGTTTATAAAATGCGTTAGACGCTCTTCCATTTGAAGTGTGGCTTTTGGAAAACGTTCTTTATACAATATATTCATCATTGCGATTTCGTTATCAACCAATGGAGATCGATTTGGACTGGACAAACTACGTGAACGTGGCCGACGATGCATCGGCGAATGACGTCCGCCGCTACTTTCAAAATCTTTTACTGATGTTGGCGTTTCGCCACCATTATTTCCCGACGATACGGAACCAACATCGGATATTGAATGCGGCTGTTGATGACTTTGGTGTTGCTGTGATATTTGATTTTGGTGTTTCAACAGTTTTGACTGATGTTGCTAGAAAATTTATATTCAAATACATGAATTTTAAAAAAATGATGAAATATTTTGAAAAAATTAAAAATGTTTGAAATTACAATTTGATCGATTGGACTGGCGCCAGAAAAATGGTGTGACAAAATCCGGAGCTCATCGTTAGTTGGTTGATTTGGTAATTGATGCAAACGCTCTTGACTTGAGCATTGTGACTGATAAAAGTAAAAAAAAAGTTTTAGAATTATTTAAAGCATGACTCAAGCTAAAAAAAAACAAATGATATTCAAACGTTGTTGTCTTTATCAATTGGACCATGTTTTTGTTAAATTACTTTCCAAATTGTTATAAAAACTATGCTATGAATGTGATACATATTTTTGTTTTGTAATATTTATTACCGATAAATTCGAGCTTCCTGGAGTTGTTCCATATCCGGAAGATGGCAAAGATGCAACAGACCATCGTCTACCATCACCCCGGCAACTCGATATCCTTTTGATGGGCAAAAATGGAAATTGCATATTACTTGCCGGCGAATTGATGCGCGGGCTATCCACCGGACTCGCTGAAATTGGCGAATGTGATCGCGGTGATGTTGTATAGTTGTGATGTCCACCCAACGATAACTACAATCAAAATCAATCGCAATTAATATAAATTAATCTTGGAAAAAATTAGAAAATAATGGTCATATTGCTTACTCGATGTATGGCAACAGCTGCACTTCGTGATGGCAAAGCGGCCGAACCGGTTGCACTGAATCCGCTTGATCTTTTGGTGTTTGACAGTAACATTGATGCAACTGCCGCAGTGGAATGTGATGGTGCCGCGCATGATTCACGCTGAAACAATTAAAAAAAATTTATAATAAATACATAAAATATAATCAATTTAAAAATAACGCCATCAAATGCCGTCGACAGCTTAATTTCATTATGTTTATTTCCATAATTAACGTTATGAAGATTATCAAGATAGAATATAGGTTTATTTTTTCTTCTCAAAATTGATAAGCGTTTGAAATTCATCAAACATGCAACACACACACATTATCTATATGGCATGAAAAAAATAATGGTGTGCATCAAATAGATTTTTGCTTTTCCAGCGCGTGACTTATCACAAATTGAAAGAAACATTCTTTCGAGAGATCAAATTACCATAGCAAATAGCGAAATTGTGTTGCTCAGCTTTGAAATTGCATTAACAAATGTGACTCATCAATTTGACAAAAAAAAATAGATTCGAATAACAATCAGTATTTTCTTATTACATCAAAACAGTAAATAAAATGTGTTCAAAAGAGGATCGATAATAATTTGTTCAGCCAAAACTACCATCTAATCTCTCGGCTGCAAAAAAGATTGAATAAAATATGCTTACCGATGATGGTGACAAAGATGGTGCTGATTTACCAAGTTGTGAATTCCGAACTCGAATCAAATTGGAAATTTCCGTTCGTGATGAACTGCTGCCACTCGATCGAAATAGATGTGAATTTTGATAGGAAATTTTCCGTTGATGTTGAATCGGTGTAACTGAACCACTAAAATCACGGCCAACCGATACAGCTGATGCTGATTTAAATAGACCACCGCTACCACTTGATGCTCCGCCACTTGTGTTCACCAAAAAATGATCTTTGCGAAACGATGGTGGCGTTAATGGCTGAGATATTTGCTGTAAATTAGATTTTTTTTTTCATTCAATTTAATTAGTTCAACATTGAATTCGAATAGCTTTTCCATGGGCCTAAAGTGAATGTCAAGCATTAATGTCAATTAGTGAAAATTGATCGACTTACCTGGTGATGTTGTTTGGGTGATGTGCTTAATTTCAATAAATCACGGTCATATGATGACACCGAAGATGGTTCGTCGAACATTAGTGCACGAGCTGAAAGCATGGACTGTGGCCGACGGTTATTAACCAGTGATGACACTTTGTTCGCCCGATGTATAATTGTTGTTGACGATGACGTCGGCGACGATGTGACAGCCGACGCAGACACATTTGGCTTCTGCATTTATTCATACAATTGAACAAAATAAAATAGAATGAAAATTAACTAATTTATTTGACGAAAAAGATGGAAAGAAGAAGAAAAATTAATTTAAACAAATACAAAACATATGAACCGGTTTTTTTTCTATTTTCAATTGTTATCAAAATTTATCCACATATAGAAAAGTATCGATTAAACTTTTGCAATAATACACAGACAAGGTTTGGCAGACCTTAACATTCACTCGATACCGTCAATTCCATTAGCTTAATTTGATGTAATTGATCGAAAAACGGGCAAAGTTATTGATAAATTTTTTTCATTGGCTTTCATTCATTTTCTTCAAACTGCATGGAAACCATCGAGTTACAATTCATTAATTTCCGTTCAAGTTTTGTTTTTTTTTCTTTTCTCAATTGAATGTTTCCCAAAATATTCTGTTTTGATTTTCATTTATTGATTTTTATCATGATTGTGTTTGTTTTTGAGATTGTATGCACGTCATGTCCTCGAAAATAATTTAATTTCGGGTTATTATCACTATGATGGGTAAAATGCTATTAAAAATGCATGATCAATGGAATGTAAAATTTGGAAACTTCAAAATATATCAATTATTTTAAAACGTTTATTATCATCACTGACGCGGAAATGGCCCCCCCTTCCCCAAATGTTACCGAAACAGGCCAAAAATAGCATTGATTTTTTTTTTGTTCATCGTCTTCGTTGATGTGCATCATATTTTTTCAATATTTACCACATACCACACGGATTTTCGATATAATTTTCAGATTTTAATTCTATGCACTAATTTGAAAAAAGGCGAAGAAATGAATGAAGCCAAAATAAATAAGAACAGATAAAAGTGTCAAACCTGTTGTTGGTTGATGGGTTCATTGCTGGCATCCTTTTGGTTTTTATTGTCTGATGATGGCACCGGTTTGTTGTTCGATTTCTGATAATTCATTTTATGAATTCAAAAAGTTCGTTGGTTCATCAATTGGTGTTTCTTTTGTAGTAAATTTTTTGTGTGTATATCTTCAAAAAAAAATTGGAATTGATAAGAGAGATTTAGGTTGTTGCTAAATTTCTCTTTTGTTGTGAATATGATGTTTCTTCTATTATTATTATTTTTTCTTCGTTTAATTCGGTTGCTTCAGCATTTATTCAGATGCTGGTTGTCGTGGCGCTATCACATTCAGAAAGAATGGCCATTATATGTGTGAGAGAAAAATGTGAGTACATGTCGTATTTAGCACATTGTTCATAAGATTCTCGTTGCCGTGTTATCTCTCTTCGTGAGTATTTGACACAAGTTTCTAAACATGCATATATATTTATTTTGTTTTCATATGGATTTCATTCTCTTTTGTGTTGCATGTTCATCTACACAATTGTTTATTCGAAATTCCGAATATAACTAAAATTCAGCGGATATCCACAATTTTCGTGTTTCACCTGTATCTTTTGGGTTGTAAATTCCAGAATTGCTGCGCCACACCACTGTCATTGATTGTTGTTATTCAATCAAGAAATAAAAAGGGAGAGAGGGAGAAAAAAAAAAGAATATTTCATTGGAGATTTGGTAAACAAATTCAAAAATATTTACAAGGGAAAAACAAAAATAAGCGCAATATATTTTTATTTTATTTATGTCTTTTCAGCCGTCTAATGAAATGCAAATCATTTATTTATGAGAGAATATTTTTGCAAAAATAACGAAAGATAAAAAAAAGGTATTCGTCAATGGGTATTCGTATTCCGTGCTCGTTGTGTGAATCTAATTATACTTCTTGAGAATTTCTTTTGTTGTTTTGCATACGCGCGACCGTTGAATGAATTGTGTAAAGTGAATTCTTCTGATTTGAATTTACACTTGATGTTTTGTACGCGAGCGATTTAATCAAATTTGTATAGACGAGATGTTAATCATTGCCTTAACGTATTTTTCATTTCTCTTCTAAATTTGAAATTGATTTATTTGCTATTTTTCCATTTTGGATTGAATGCACATAAATTGAATGAACTCGCGCATAACTATGGTTTGCATTGAAATACACCAAATGTATGTATATGATTGAGTGAATCCATGTAATTTCCCTTGAATGAGCGTGCAATCCAAATTTGGACGGCCCGATCGATTTAAGATAGTTTTCTGTCACAATTTACGCGAGATTTAATTTGCATATATGTAAATAAAATTCTGTAATTATTGTTATAACACCATCGTCAATTTGTAAACAGTCTCTCTTTCTCTATCTCTCTATCTATCGGCATGCGCTCCGACGGTCAATTTACAAAAAACAGAGCGAGAGAGAGATAAGTTTGTCATTCACATTTGATTGTATAATCGAACAATTAATTCAACAATACGCCGCACAATACGCAAGATATCAAAGTGAGCTTGTACTTTGATTTGTATGCAAAGACACCATTTAGATACGTCGCTATATTGATGATATGAATTTTATCCGAAAATAATAACAATATCATACAAATATAAATAATCATTGTTTGTTTTTGATTTTCTGTTGAAAACAACGACGATTTGATAGAAATTGTGTATTTTTCCAATGTTTTGTCAGCAACGAAGAAACAAATGTCAACACAAATAGTCCAGTCCAATACAATTGATAAGCATTTTCGTCTGAAGCACTATATATATATATTGTTTGCATCGAACAATCCGAACAAAGTCGACATCGAACAAAAATCAAAGTGCTTATTGAATCTATACCTGTCATTAAACATCAACTAAAGTTATACATTTTCTTGTTTCTAATTCACATTTATTTATATATGTGCGTGTGTGTGTGTGGATAATGATTTTATGCCATGGACACGTTTTCCTTCTAATTTGCAATTAGCTGTTCATTTGCACTTTGATTTAGTCGCATGATAATTTTAGTTTTCGAAATAGGCAAAAGCTTGAAATGAAAAAAAAAATTGTCTCGCATAAAATTAATGGGATCGAGCATTTGTTGCATCGAACATGAGCAGCGACAACAACACGATCGGCAATTTGCAAATAAAAAAAAAGAGTTGTAGCGTAGTGAATCAGCCAAACGAATTTGGTGAGATGCAATTTGTGCAAAGAACAATGTCAACTTGATTTTCGAGTCACGAAAAAAGGCCAGAAAATGAAAAGAATATGTGTGTGGAACAGAGGCAGAAAATGACAGAAAGAGAGCGAGCGAGTGAGCGAGCGAGAAAGAGTATGAAAGCAAAGGCAAGAGGGCGAAAACGAATCGTTCGTCCTTGATATTGATTCTTGGCGTTGGTTTTGTGTATTTAAATGTTTGGAAATGTGCTTTCCTTCCTATGCGTTAACTAAATATGTATACATGCATGTGGTTGTGTGACCTTTTTGAAAAATCGCGGCATCCTTCGTTGCGCATTTCCCGCTACTGAGTTTGCGTTTGTGAATAGCATTGCGATATGATTTTGTTGTTGTTTATTTTCAAATTCAATATCAATGTAAGAATGAATCACTAGAAGTATTCGTCGTTGGCCAATGAAAATATCAAGAGCAGCCAGCGAAAATACAAGTTAAATCGATTTACTAAAAAAAAGAGAAGAAATTATCAAATTGCTTTAAAATGCATGTGAGACGAGAGCGCATGAAGTAGAGGCACATTACATCTTGTGGGAGGCCATGTAACCATTTATAGATTTGCATTGTCTACAATACGATATTCAAAAGCAAACACAAAAAAAAATATGAGAGAAACAAAAACTAAAACTAAATCGAATAAATCATATACTGCAAAAACCAATCACTTTCGATGACAATTTTTGTGTGACGTGATAATTGCATTGTGTTGTCGTTTTCTCTCTTGTTTCTTTTTGCATTTACCTATTGCCTTAATTAACTATTGAATATGAATATTGCAAAATCGCTGTACATTATACGGAGCAGTATCGTGTGTTGTATTTCTTTTGTTCGATTGTTCGTTCAACTATGCTAATTCCATCTTTCATTTTTCTACCATTTTTTATTTCGTTCACGAAGCGAGAGATATAATTATATACATATAATTTTGTCTTAGTTGTTTCGGTCGACCCGATTGTCGTTGATCGCTGTGTTTTTTTGCAATTTTATTGCTTGTAATTACGATTAATATATACAAAAATTGAAAATGCATCGGAATAAAAATGTCGTTGGTTTTGTTTATTTTTATTTTCTTTTTTTTTTTCATTTACCGTTTACATACCTTTTGTGGAAATGTTGAGAGCATTGAAACGGTGTGTTGCGAGACACTGCAAGTGGTCAGCAGATAGCACACAATTCACACATTTTATTCACGTTGCCGTTTTTTTCTCTCGTTTCGTTTTATTTTTTGCTTTCTCGTTCTGGCTTTTATCAACTCTAATGCAATTTTACACCTCACACGCCATGATTTATATATATATATATATATATATATATCGGTTTTGTTGAATGTGACTGAATTGCATCTGCTACGTACGTTGTACGTCTTTTTTTCTTCTCTTCTTCTCTCGAAATTATCACAGTTTTTTTTTCTTGTATGTTATTTTTATTTTCTTTTATTTTAAACACTTCGGAGTGTTGACTTTTTCTGTTCTTTCTCTTTTTAAATGAGTGTATATGATTTTTTTTTCTATCGTACACTAGCGACAATGATTTTTCGCGATATATGTATGTATGATTTGGTACGGTGTATTTCAATAGTGTCACCTCATTGCAATCATCGTCTCTTCATCATTTAATAATTCTCATTTTTCACAATCAACAAATAAATTATACAAAACTGTGTCGCATCACATTATGATCGTTTCAATCACAATTCACACCTTTTTTTCTGCTATTTCTCTATCTCCATACAAACATTTGACCAAATGGGTTTTTTGTTGTTGTTGTTTGTAATATATATCTATATTTTTATTTCGTTCGCTCTCTGCACGACTTCAGTAATTACAATGACATTTGTAAGCTACAAAACAATTGTTGTGTATGTGTGTTTGTTATTTTAGTTTTTTTTTTCGTTTGGTTTAGTCCGATGTCAGGCACCCGAAAATTATGTAGCCACTCGCAAAATGATTTTGTTGAATTGTTTTTTTTTGTTGCTCTGAGGTTCGATAAGTCGCAGATGTAATGTTGTTGTTTAACTTTCGTGTAAATTTCAGCTGCAATATAGATTATAATGCACAAACACTCTTTCGCGCACGCAGACACACACGCACATACACATATACACACACTTACTGACAATTGACACTTGTGACTCACTTTTTGTGTCTCTTGATTCTTCTAGTTGCGAGTCTTTGCAAAAAATGTATAAATAAACAATACAAGAAACAGAAGCGAAAAAAATGAAAACAAACAAGCTCCTTTTTTTCACACACTAAATACTTTAACACAACAACAACGAAGATGACGATGACGACGACGACGATAGAGACGACAGTGATGATGTTGATGTTGATAGAGAAATACCAAAGTACTCCGGCCTTGTCATTATTCTTTTTCTCGTCGTGGATTTCCTAGATTTTTTTTAACATTTCAATCCAATGAACCGCAAGCAATTGTGATATTACTGAAAATGTGTGCATTATTTTTTTTCGCCTCTCTCAATTCAATCACACTGTGTTCACTGTCGGAAATTCACTTTTTCACATTTTCCTACGTTCTTTGCTCATTCGTTTGCTATTTCTATGTATGTTTCTCGCCTCTCCTTCTTCTTCTTCTTTTTTGTTCAGTATTTTTTTTACTTTGCTTCTACCTAAAAGGCGCACCACCACACACAGATCATTACACTCTGTAACATATCAATAATACGCTTTATAGATATCATAACAATATATATGTATATAGATATCGTTATTGCATCGATGACCAAAGCTTGAACATGTGCATGTGTAGATGTGCATATGATAGCAAGAGCGAATGAGAGAGAAAGGCATAACAAAACAACAATATTATTGCGTTCAGTATTTCATCGATAGAAAGTCGGAACCGTCACGCACACCAACACCGATGTGTCTCCGATACACACACACAAAATTTCGAACGAGCGCAGCCATTTTTAAATATATTGTCAGTCGATTTTGTTTTTCTTCAATGTTTACATTTGACACAACTGAATTCGCCGTGATCGACATCGTGTTGTTGTTGTTTTTTGTCCGTCTTTCATTTTCAGGGTATCTTCCATAATCAGAGAATGAGTAAAAGAGATAGATTCGCATATCGATATGTTATATATTCGATTAAAAATGAACAACTATCGATTTATCTGAAGCAATTCACCGAATTCAAGATATTTCGGCACATAAGCTTCTGATTAAACATGAGTCAAAATCAGTTTAATGTGAACAATGTTTGGCGAAGAAAAATAAACGTTTCGTTCTTAAATGAAAACTATTTTATTAAATTAAGAGAATTTACAGTGCGTTTTTTTATCTATAATGTGGAAAAATTTAAATGAAACACACGATGTTGAGATAAATTTTTTCATTGATGTTTTCCACTGGCGTTGAATGAATGAACTGAGCTGCTTCAAATTGCGAAGCCTTGCCTTAATAATAGCCCAAACATTTTCGGTCGGATTGCAATCGGGTGACTGTGGTGGCCAGATCATTTGTTTTATTCCATTTTCCTCTTTCCGAGCGACGCAGAGACGACTTTTGTGTTTTGGATCGTTGTCTTCTAATAGAAGCCAATTCGAATTGCCGTTGCCATAGAACTTCTTGCCGGTGGGTAACAGTGTCGATGAATAAAGTTGGTCAACTTTCCAAAATCAGTTTCACAGAAGCAACCATAAACATGGACCTTTTTTGGATGCTTTACCGTGCGAACGACCACTTTCTTTTTGGCTCTAGACTAGGCATGGGTAGTGCTATTCGCCAGCCAAAAGAATGACTCGTCAGTGTATATAACTTCGCTCCAATCTCTTGTTGAATTTTGCTTTGCCCAGTCAATGCGTTTTTCTTCTGGTTTTCTGTCAAAAAGGGTTTCTTCATTGTACTGCGATAACGAACACCGGCGACATCTAATCCTTTCTTGATAGTAGAGTACGAGACCTCTATTTTAAGATGGCGTAGCCATTCAACACAACGACATACCTGGATTTTCGTCGAACAACTTAACTATCCGTTTATCTTGCTTTGGCAAGGAGGCTTGGTTTGGCTTAACATTGGGCTGATCGAAACCTGGTGAGTTATGAAGGTATTTTGCGACCTTCGTCTGCGGCCATTGTGGCCCCTTTGGCTGCTTCAAATCGTGAATGAAAATGTTCGGAATTCATGTTTCGGTTGTACAACAAACACTGTACTGATCTGACAGTTGTCGAAACCTAAACGCGAAAAAGCTTAGGGTCCCATCAGGCAACACCAAAAGTATTTTTCAAATGTTTTAACTTTTGAATATACTTTGCATCGACTGGAGAACTCCTATGAATACAAGTTTGTAATGTGATCAAAAGTTGATAATAATTACCGCATCATAATTGCCTCCCATACTACATATTCCCAGTCGGTGATTCAACTTTTTTGGGCTTCTTTGCTTCGTGTTGAAGTGATGCCGATTCACTATCCGAATCACATCCAGTGTCATTCCGATGTTTAACCGCTTTTGCCATTTCATTCGAAGAATTTCATTCGAAGAATAGTGCTCGTACCGAGTTTTTCAAAAACTTTTTCAAACGTAGTTTTAGTGATTTCCAAACTCATGAGCTGTTCTTCAAGTTTTTAAATGTACTTTTCATCAAATGCCGTTCTTTCTCTGTAAAAGGAATGAAACGGAAAAAATGTCTTTTAAAAATATTATTTCCTAGGACAATTTTACAATCGTGCGCAAATCGTGTCCTGGGAAATAGAGCCTTTACTCATACACAATTTCTGTGGGCCGAAAGAACTTTACAAATATAAATCATATTTCGGTTTTGGTTTACTTACGCATAGACGTCATAGAAGAAACCGGCTGACTTGTTGTCGGTGTTTGTTGTGCTTGCTCTCCCATTGTTTTAATTTTTTTTGAATTTTGATGAAAATGTTGTGAAGCGTGTGCTTCAACAAAGAAAATTTAATTATCTTTGAAAATGTCAAACGGGCTGTATTGGTGCTGTAATAAATACAGTATTAGGGTTGTCGTTGGTGCAGACTAAATTTGACATAAATATGTAAATGTTTAGTACAGATATACGATACACACATATACCAATACAATAACAACGCATATAGCAGGCAAAAAAAACATGCACACACTCACACACATGAGCAAAAAACCTGATGACAAAAGATGCTGAATTCGCTGTATCTTCCATATTGAGAGAATGAGTAACAGAGATAGACTCGCATATCGATGCATGCCATGCGCACACATTCAACCAATTCGCCAATGTTTATGTTTCCATTGTGTGTATCGCGACAAGCCTCATTATTGTTTACAACGCCGCTCTTGCATTCTCAACTTGAGACAAAATCAAGTGTGTATTTTTCATTTGTGATTCATTTCACGACGATTCTTATAATCGTTATTCTTGGAATTATTCATTTTAAAACGCATTAAATTTTGTAAACAAGAAAAAAAAGTCGAAGAAAAATTGTCCATCGATTGGATAAGGACATAAAACCGAAAAGAATTGTGTGATAAGATGGCCGGTACAATTCTTGAGAATTTAAGCGGAAAAAAATTGTCGATTTTAGTGGGCACATTGCTTGTATGTCAAGTGATTTGTTTTCTTATCGGCGGATTAATCGGTAAGTCACCGCCCAACATTACCTATTTAAATCAAAAAATATACACATGAAATATGGGAAGAAAAAAATTAAACGATTTGAAAATAACAATATAAAAATATCTACAGCCCCTGTACCAGCTAGTGTACAGACAATTCTTGGAACGGTGTGCAAGGACATACCAGGTTCATTCAATGACACTACCAAGTGGGTTTATTCACGTGGACTTGGACAATGTGAAACCATTCAACAAACCGATCTTGAACGGCATGATGTTCGACTTGCCAATCAAATTGTATTCGTTTTTCAGGTGAATTAAATGTGTTTGCTTTTTTATTTTCATTTAAATCATCGAATTCTTTTGAAGTTGAATGAAATGATGTTCATTTTTTGTTTTGTTTTGTTTTTAATTTTGTTGTTGGTTTTTTCATTACTATTTTGAAATGATTTTAATTTCATTTTTAAAGATGCCACTTCCACGTGAAGGAAAGGTGCTTGATTATTCCCGATGGCAACAAAATCTCATCGGAATTCTGCAAACGGATATTGCTTACCATGAAAATGTGATGCTTGAACCACAAGCAATTGTCACCCTTGATGCACGGTTGGCATATCGCAACAAAGGCGATGCTGATAATGATTGGAAACATTACTCATCATCGTTAGAACAACGTGAATTGGATTGTAGTGGTGACGAGGTAGGCAATACATTTTTGAATTTATGTCATTTCGATAAATCGTTTAGAAAATGGGTGTGTTGCAGAGCTGTTACTGGTACCAAGTGCGGTGCTCGCACTTATAGCATTTTTTAAGTTTATTTAAGAAAGAATTGCCCTTAGAAAGAAAAGTGCCTGCACATCCGCGGTACCCAAAACAGATCTGTTTCAATAAGATGAAACAACACCCAAACATTATGACACCAAATTACGCAAATTTTTTCAATGAATGTTTTTATCTTTCTTTTTTGCAGTTGTCTGATGAATATTTGTACTCATGTTCAACGTTACCGCTATTCGAATTGGGTTCATTACATCACGATTTTTATTTACTGAATGTTCGATTGCCGGTCGATTCTGAGCGCAAAATGAATTTAAACATTGGTAACATTCGTGACTTGCATTTGACGGTGATTTATCAAAATGGTGGTTTTACCAAAGTTTGGTTGTCATTGAAAACCATATTCTTTCCATTCATCGTTGCAATAATGTGCTGGTTTTGGAATCGTGTTCATCAATTGCAACGTTCACCTGTACTAATCGAATACATGTTGCTTGGATTGGGTGCAGCACTAACGTTTTTGAATCGTAAGTTGCACACGATATTTGTTTCACTCATAGCCAATCCAAATGTAAACCAATTAAAAAAAAATTCTTCTTTCAGTTCCGCTCGAATATTTGACACTTTTCTTTGACATGCCATTTATGCAACTCTTGGCTGATATTCGTCAAGGTGTATTCTATGCACAATTATTATCATTTTGGTTAATATTTGCTGGTGAACATATGCTTATTCAAGACGGTGCATCAACATTGAAAACTTATTGGAAACATTTGAGCGCTGTGGTAATTGGATGTGTTTCATTGTTTGCATTCGATGTATGCGAACGCGGAGCACAGCTTCGAAATCCATTTTATTCCATTTGGATGACTAAAATTGGTGCCAACATTGCTGTAAGTTACTAGTTTGAGATGAACTATCCCGATTTTCCATCGAAAAATTAACGTGAATTAATCAATTTTGGATCATTTCAGTTCACATTCATTTTGCTCGCTGGTATTTCGGCTTGTGTTTACTTTTTCTTCTTGTGTTATATGATTTGGTGTGTATTCTGTAACATAAGCATCAAGCGTACATCGTTACCATCGATGTCAATGGCGCGTCGTCTTCATTACGAAGGTGTCATTTATCGATTTAATTTCTTGATGTTGGCCACATTGATTTGTGCCGCCTTGACCATTACCGGTTTCATTATTGGCCAAATGTCGGAGAGCCAATATCATTTGGATGATCCAGTCCATTTGGAATTCACATCGGCATTTTTCACTGGCGTCTACGGCATGTGGAATATTTATATATTCGCATTGATCATTTTGTATGCACCAAGTCATAAACAATGGCCATCAACTGGCGGTAATGGAACAACAAGCACCAATGATAGTGCAACAGGTGAAATTTTGTTTTTTCTTCTTTTTTTTTTGATTAAATCGATCGATTTTTGTTTTGAGAAAAAATGTTTTCACAATCTTCGTTATTACTAACATAATAACTTATCAGTCCAGTTAAATTTTCTGCAGAAGCAGAGTAAAAATTAGTTTGATTTGTTGGGTGACATCAATGATTCATTGACAATGAATGCCAATTTTTGATTTTTTTTTGTTTCGGTATTTTGTATCTTTTTATTCATTTGAATTATTGATTTTATTCCAATTTCAGAAAATATTGTCGGCGAAGAGATTGAATTTAACAGTCTACCATCGGACACAAATCCAAGCGAAATATCGTCACTCACTTCGTTTGCACGCAAAGCAGCTCTGGATTAAAGACATTATATACCTCTACTTATTCATGTTTTTTTTTTTTTTTTTAATTTGTGACACAATTTTATTATTTTTATGTTAAAAGTCATAATAATTAGCAGGATGTCAAGATTACAACGACAACACATCTTAGGCTTAATCTTATATGGATCCTACCAAACTTTGAATAATTCTCAAAAATTGATTTTTTTTGTATCATTTTATTCAATGGTATGAAACGAAAAATGTGTAACCGAGTGCCAATGAATTTCGATTAACGACGTCTGTCGTTGCAATTTTTTTATGAAATTCAAAATATTTTAATTTTTTTTTTCGCTTTCACAATTGAAATTCTTGTGCTTCTAACTATAATTTTTTATCTCAAAACTCAAACTTCTAATCAATATTATCGAATCTCGAAATAGTCAAATAAATATTTGATACATGCCGTTTGGCAAACAATTTTCAACAAAATAAATCTCGACAAGTAGCAAAATCCCATAGTAAAAAACCCATAGTAAAAAAAATCTTAGTAATTCCATCAATATTTATATAAATAAAAATGAAAATCAAAATAATTTTGTACCGTTGTAATATTAGGACATTTTTCTTATTGTGAACGCATTTACGTGTAAATTTTGTATGATTTTAATGAAAGAAATGAATACTTTTAGCAACAACAGCTTCGAACAAAAATACCAACTTAACATTATTCAAATTTAAAAGTAGTTTATGTGATTTAGTTTTCTTTGATCTTAATAATATTAAAGCTACCTAAAGAAAAATAAAGAACTTATTTGCCCCCAAAACTAGTGATTATTTTTTTAAATGTGATTACAACATACATACAGAATTTTGATTCCACGACTAAGATAGACCATGTTTTCAATAACTGATTTTGGAAGACTTCGAAAAGGCAAATTCATAGATTTTGATCAGGAATCCAAGTAAAGAAACTACAACTCCCAGTGAACGAGAATTAAATTACCTTTCTTCAAATTGAGGAAAAAATGATGACAGTAAAGACGTTATTGGGGAAGGATTCAAAAACTTCTGTTCAAATTTGCCACACTAGATAGAATCGACTTTTGTTGGGACCCTCTTTGGATCATTGCAAAAATCAAAACATTGAAAATATACATCGATTCGACTCGTAATTGAAATGTATAAGTGATTTTTTCTCGCTTTCAATTCAATTTTCATTCATCTGAAGTGCCACTGAATTTTTGGCGTCAACACCCACAATTCAAAGAATTACCAATTTCTTTGGTGAAAAAAATGTATGCCCATCATTTTTTCCTAACATTGTCTCCAAAATCAAAAATACTGAATGTATTTATTTACCTTTACTATGTAACATTGCTTCAATTAACAGAAAGAAAACACTGAATCATCGATAGAATTTCAAATGTTTATTATTGTTAATTTATTTGAATGAAAATGAGAATATACTCGACTACAATGTGTGGGTGTGTTTGAAATGGGTGATATAATATAATATGTAATAATAATCCAATCCATGATAACTGGCTTAAATTTATCATTCGTAAAACTTGGCTTTTGAGTGGAACAAATATTTCACAAATGCGATAATTGAAAATTAATGAATTCGGATAAGTTTGTTGAAATCTTTATAACCATTTTATGCTTAAATAACTGTGTAATTTTAATCAAAAATTTATCGTCTTTTGGGTATTGTAAGGGTGTAGCCAGTTATTATAGTGTAAAAATTTTGCGTTTAAACTTTTTTTTATTATTCAATATTTTAGTTATGAGAAAAGAGATTAACTGTTTTTTTTTTGTTTAAACTAGTACACTACTCGCTTCATTTTGAACCACATAACTTATATAGCTATATGTATAGTTTTTGTTTCATGTATGTCCAAGATGTCTTGTATACGTCAGAACAATGTTGAAATGTTATTACATTTGATAAAATGCACCATCTTATTTTCATCATCTTGGCTTATACTTTTGCGATTATTCTATTATCTAAATACAGCAAATTTTAACCAAAAAAACTATATATTATAAGAAATACATGCAAAAAAGATTAATTGAGAAAATTATTTTGAAATGCACAGATTCATTTTCATTTTGATTTCAGTTGTTGTTGTTTTCAAAATTTTGTTGCTTCAGGTGATTTGATTTGTAAACGCATTTCTTGTTTAACTGTTTAAAATTAGAAATCTAGAATTTAAAATACAGTATTTTGCCTGTGAATTTATGCTTTTGAATTATTATTTGTTTTAAACAAAGAAGTCCAAAATAACTCATTGAAACATGAAAACGGCGCAGTGATTATTTTTTTTAAAACCCTCTTCATTTGTACAGTCAAACTACAACTGTTCACATTTATTTTGGAAGAATTAAAATCGTGTTCGCATCATTGTTTCATTTTTTTTTATTCTGGTGAAATTTTACAAAGCAATTGAATCACAAGAGTGTTTCATCCAGTAGGTTGTTGAACGGTTTGTTTAAGATTGGTGTAAATGATGTGGTTGTGCCGTGGCTGATGTGATTACATCTTGATGTGAATGATTATAGCCGGTGGATAAGTTGAGCGAACCCGACAATGCTGTACGATCAAAGGCGAGTGAACTATTTTGTAGGAAATTTGTGTGCTGATTTAGCATATGATGGAAATGCTTACTAATCGAATGCTGCTGAGCCGGATTATGGAATGAAGTTAAACTTGGCCGCGGATAAAACTGATTCATGCGATTGCTTAGTAGGATATTGGCGGTGGACGCAGCTGTAAATGGTGGTGATGTTGTTGCTATTGGATTTATATGTGATATGGACGATTTTTGAAATTTTCCATCAATGTTCAGCTGAGGTGGCGATGATGCTAAAGTTATAGTTCAAAACAATCAATATTCATTCACAATATGTATAATTGTATTGCTGCGGAGGTGCAAGTGGAAGTGAGGTGGGAGGTCATTTTTTTGTTCTCAGCAATACAATTGTTTGAAATTAAAAAAAAAAAGCAAATTCGAGAAAAAAAAATAAATTACCTTTTGGAGATGAGCGCCATTTTAAATCGGACTTTTCATATGAAGTACCGGCGGTGGGGCTATAATTCAAATCATTTGATTCATGCGATTCATCCATTTTTGATAAATCCAATGCGACACTGGATTTTGTTGTTTTTACCAAATCATCTTCAGCCGAATTAAATGGATAAGATGTTTTCAACTATAGCAGAAAAAGAATGGATAAATTTAGATATTTCATCGGACATTTTTTGTGTCGTCTATTTTCAGCAGATTAAAATGCAAACAAAAGATTGTGAATCATTTCTATTCCAATGAAGTTAAATATAAGTTAGAGGAAATAGAATCTCAAGTTAAATAGAATTTAATCAATACGATATCGATTAAATGTAATTGGCATTGCATAATAAAATCGTAAAAATAGATCAAGGGTTGCACAGGTTTATCGTACCAAATAACAAGAAAAAAAAAAAAGGAACCATATTTTCGTTTTGCCTGTGATTTTATTTCTATTGTATCACGCAATTGATTTGATGCCGAATATAGCATCACGTTCGTTTGTAATAGCATGGTTTGTTGCTGTTTTTATTTCTTATTTAATGCGAATACATATATCACGGCTCATTCCCAAGAGACGTCGCTTGGTGCGTTTGGCCCTATGAAATGGCAAATCTGTAGATACTTCCATTGAAAGATTTTTTTTTGTTTCAATATGAAATAAACGTGACAAATGTTGGCATGTGGCACAAAAAGTGACGTTCTTTTTTCTATCGATATTTCAATGCTTATGTGTGTGAATATTGCAATTAATTTAAGGTCAATGAGATGAAAAGGAGTTCATCAAAATCAATTCATGCAATAAATAGATTGTTCCAAAAAAAAACTGTTCAATTTTATTGATTTTGTTTTAAACGTGTTTGAGAAAATGTCATTCCAAGATTTTACCTTAACACGGCTAATAAATCAATTGATTGACAAATGCACTGACAAAAACCACTTGGCATCGAATATATTTCGTCGCGAAAAATGGTAACTTCGATAACAAAGTGAAAAAAATCGCTTTACACATTTTGGTAGAAACATAAATGGCGACCAATTGAGCGATCAATTGAATTAACACACTAAAAATAAGTTGAACCAAAATGTGGCTGAAATTATTCAAATGACATCAGTCATGTGTATATTTCAATGCGGGGACCCGATGAACATTGCAATGGCATGGTAGGTGCACATACAACGATTGAAAGATATGTGAGGAAGGATGGCGTGAAAATCGCAATACGAAACGTTACTTGTTTACAAATTCAATTTCATTTACACATATTGAATTTTCGTTTGCCAAAATGAAACTAATGTTATCATTAGCCTCTTAGCTGTATGCAAAAAGCCCGTCACAAGCTCGCATTCAAATGGCACATTTCAATTTTTGTCTATCAATTCATGTCACATTTGTTGTTGTAGTCATCATTCCATTTGAAATGTATGCTTATTGCCGACGGATTTATATCCACTTCAGCCAAATATATAACGTTAGTGAATTGAGTGAATTGTGTGGATTCACACCCATTGTATATCACTTTGTTGATACGGTTTTATCGTTTGTATGTGGTGTTTTAACATGCCAATTGCGTTTTATTTGCCTTTTCCTTATACACCTCCCCCTGTCGTGACTGTATAAAGCATATCACCAGTGTTCACCTTCATTCGATATTATTATTAGCACTTTTCAATTTTATAATCGACACGAGTCTATCGCCACTTTCAATATATGCTCGATGTCTGTTCAGATTGCGATGCCGATTTGCACATTTAGCAATTTTGTCGGTTCATTCTCTCTCTCTCTCTCTCTCTCTCTCTCTGTTCGTATACAAGCATACATATCGGGTATGGTCGGTCGGCGATGCTTTGAGCTCAAAGCACGCGTGCGACATTCCATTTAACATTTAAAGCATATCTCATTCAAAATAAATGGCACACGTACGCTTGAACGACAACGAATTGAAAGCTCTGGATAATGAAAATAACACCCAATAATAATACCGAAATATAATTGTAATAATCGAATTGATTTTCGTAATTCGGAATGTGAAGAGAGAAAGAGACATTCCCACTTAATTTGTAATGTATTTACACACCAATTGAAAGCCAAACAAATTTTTGGATGTTTATTATATTGGGAGTGGATTACAGGAAGTGATAAAGCGACACATATTTCAATTGAAAATTTGAAACAACAACCGGCTGCAACAGTGGCAACATTAAAAGCATCATTTATTTGTACAATACAAATCGAATTTTCAATCAGCCTGTAGAGATCGGTATAAGTGCGGATTAACCAAACAAACTAATCGGTATTTTGTAAATGAAACGATTTAATTACACAATTTGTGGTCGCGAAAATGCGATCATTTCATCGTATGCACCGACAATTTTCAATTGTTTTAATTAATTTTTTGTATACACACATTCGGGGCTAAGAGAGCGCAGAAGAGTGAAAATGCACATAAATCTGTGTATTAAAAATGGAAACAAGTTCCCTAACACATTTCACAAGGTTGTAGACACGATAAATAGATTGTTTCCTTCATAAAAAAAAAGTTCATGTTGTTATTGTTGCAATTTTCATGGCATAGCGGAAAAAGCAGAAATCCGCTTAAATATTCAACGAAAACAACAACATCGCTTGTTGGAATGTCCAAAAAGTCAAGTGAACGACGTTGCCCCAACAAAAATAAGCCATGCAACAAATACACATGGAACGAAAAGAGATCATGGAAATTAATGATGCAAATAAATAAATGTACTGTTGTGGAAAATTCAATGTATACGCTCATTGATTTAAAACGCATTTAAGTTAAAATGGTGTGTGTGTATACATTCAATTTGGAGAAAATGGAAAAAAAGTGAAATTCATTCGTTTCGCAAACTTTGCACAAAATCTTGCATATGCATTTCATTCAACACATGCCCATTATCGTTGGCAATGTCTATAGAAACAGGCAAACATTGAACAGCAGTGCGGCAATAGCCGAAGTTAAAGCATAGAAACAGACGTATAATAGCCAAGTACCAAAATTGAATAGGGATTTCAACCAACAACAACAAAAGAGATGCTACTAAATTAAGTCGTTCAACATGTGTGAATCTTATCTAATGTACTTAAAATGCTATTCAACGTAAATACTTGTATCAAAATGTCGATATTGAAAATGGGAATGTACAAACCGCTAGACGGTGCACAATGCTCCATTCTGTTCGCGAGAGAGATTGTTTTTGCTAAGTCCGTATAATTGAATGTAACAGATAGATAGGGATAGGGATTGAAATAGAAGGAGAATTGTTTCATTTTGTTTGTTTTGATCGATGAATTGAGTTGTACTCAAACATGTGTGCAAATATGTTGCATTTCAATGTGCATCTTTTTGATAAATCCACTATGGATACGGAACTGTTCCAATCAAGTGATTGTGTGTTCGCAAGCGTTCGAAAAATTTGAATCGGATTTTCTAGCCCTTATCGTAATGATATCAATTCAACGAGAGAGAGAGAGAGAAAAAGCATTTTTGTAGCGCGCACACACACACACCCACAAATAACAAACCACAAAATTGGCAATGCTAATTTTACCACATTCCGACGGTGAATCGGATTCGAATATCGATTTGTATCCAGGCAGAGGAAGAAAAATTGGAGTGCAATTTGAATTTCCTTTCAAATTTTGCCATCGTCGAAACCATTCAAAAACTTTTCGGCTAAGGAAGTTTATTTCTAATGCCAACCAAGCCTCTATTGAAATATCTTTGAAATGCTAAAATTGTATTCAATATCTTTCAAATAGATAACTCATATTATCTACATCTTTTTGAATTGAATTGAAACGTGTGCGAGTTTCAGCTCAATTAACGGATCTAAATAGATTCACTTTTTGGGTACAGGTACTTCTCTGAAGGAGAGCGATTAATTTGTAAAGCTAGTCTTCAACCGCCTGTCGATAGTCAATTTTGAGCTTCTTAATGCTCGTCTATTGCGAATTATAATGAAATAATCATGTGCTGCGTGACTATGATTCTAATAACTGAATCGTATTCACCGAATACCATTTTCAATGTAACAAATAATAAATCCATAGAATAGCATATTTATTTATTTTTCTCAATGGAACGGTAATCCTTCTCAGCGCTGTATTCCCTTATCACTAACAAACCCAACAATTAACGATGTGCTTTACATGTTTAAACATCTATTGCGTGTATGTATATTTTTTGGAAATATTATACCGTCGCTATGACTAATGGACTTTATATTTAAAGAAAAAAAAATATATCAATGAATGTAAAGGATACAATTTTTACAAATACGTCAATAATGAATAGAAATGCGAACCATAAATAACTTCATTCACATGTTTTTTTATTAATTATTAGATTAGGAATTTCATTTATCCATTTTTCTTGGAATTCCCTGGCGTAAAATGTACAATTTTTTTATTTTTCACCTGTTGCTTTTCAATATATTTTGTAATGATTTATATCTATTTTCGTACAGACTCTTGAAATGATTTCAGTAAAATCAATAATTTCGGAGGAGTTAAACGAAATTTGGAAAAAATATGGATATTTTTCATGTAATTGAATCGGTTTTCGTTGCAATAAAAAGTCGTTTCAATTTCAAAATTCAAACACCGTTAAACAAACAATTAAAATCAATGTGCCTTCTGCATTTTTGGAAATATACTTATATAAAACTCATTTTAAGTAGAAAAAAGGATTAAAATATCAACGGTTATTTACAGATGGTGGCTGTTAAATTATTGAAAATAATTATTATTTTACATGAAAACGAGAGAAACAGTTTTAACAATGCTGATTTCTTAATATAGACATTGCCCTCAACATTATTAGATATATATATCCTTTTATCGTCGTTAATTTGTTAACATTTCTTTCAATTTATAATTCGAACCGAGTTAGTTAGGTACCAATTAGAATTGCGTTTGATCAATGTCACGGTATAATTTCAACATGGGCGGCGTGTGATTCGATTAAAATCACCGAATTAAATGAGAAAAGTGTGTGTTGCAGATGGTATCATTAAATAAAAGTGATGACGATTATGACCAAAACTTGATTGCGAATGTAATAATTTGTGAACCGAATTCAATGGTCGGATTAAAGTAAGGTGAACTGAATAAAATGGATAAGT